GTCAAGTATGGCCAGAGTTAATGGGGTTGGTCGCGTTTTTAAGTGCTTTCTGTACTAGCGAGCGGGCTGAAAGCTACACAAGCATGTATAAAAAAAGGCAAGATTAGGCACACCTGTTCGCCAGCGCGCGTCGCCTTTTTTTTTTTTTCTGGGAATGCTAAGCTACTTGCAGCGCGAGCGAGCGAACATCGCCGCATTTTGTGACGGCCGCGGTAACATTGCCCATCACGGGGTGTCAAATCAGCCAGTGGCCGTCCACTTTGAGTTTATGGCGCGGTTAGGTTGACGGCATCATTGGGGGGAGAGAAGAGCGAACGATTTAAAGGTGTTTAAGAATTGTAAATTCTGTTTCACGTGCTGCGCTATGTTTGGCTCACATGCCCTGAGGAGCCTAGACTACCGATTGGCAGCACAATTGAATATGATGCGCAAGTAGGCACGTAGAGGACACGGGACAGAGCGCGTTTTTTCGCCATGGTGAAAAATGGTCGAGCACTCGTGTTTCGATCGCCTACCACTTTTTTTTTCGCCGAAAGACCGTGAAAACGTCTTGGCGCACGCTCAGCGTTAATTGTGCCTCTTCTGTCAAAATGTTTCAGTGTGTAGCAGTTTTCACATCTCGGCGCAATTGCCGCAGCAACCTCATCACCGCAAATGGAGCTGCCGCCATGACATCAATAAAATCGCCTTGTAGCGCGGCGCGGAATTTCGAAACTATGATTTCAGCTGTAAGCCCTGTGTAAATGATCGCTCAAATGGCTGTAGTGCAGTAAATGGCATCAACAAGGCAAACCCACCTTTCCCCAGCACTCTGGACGCGCCAGACGATCCAAGAAGTGTTGGTCCGTACGCTGTACGCTTCCATCCATTCATTGACGGCGTCTTCGTCGGCCAAGTTCGCTCGGAACACGGACTCGTGTTCAGTAGACTGCTGGTCATCTCTTACGACCTCAAGTGGCTGACGCATCTCCTCCATTGTGCCTCGATATTGTGCAACAACGCGATCGGCACTCGTACAAACTTGACGGTCACAACCACAGTGGTAGGACGAACTTCGTGGAGCGATCGCCTTCGTGGACACCACGTGGACACGACCCAGTGGTCTGACGTCACCGCCGATTCAGCATGTACACTGTGGCCAGTGATGTTTCGTTCTACGCTGAAGAATTCGCGGTCATAGACATGAAAATTCCCTATTTCGGGAATTTTTCCCTGTTAACGTTGACGAAAGTTCCAGCATATTTCCCTGCATAACAGTACTCATTTCCGCCCTCATCTACGCAAACACTATAATTACACGTGTATGACGTACTGGCCACTTTTGAAATCATGACTAGCCCATCCGCTGCCGCACAACAAAGCCATGGCATATTCATTCATATAGTGAGAGTACACTGCACATTGCGGGCTTCAAGTCTAACACCAATAATGAACTAGAAATCGCTCCGCGTATATCAAATCTCAAGGGTTCTGCTAGCGTGGTGCATGCACCAGAACCGATAACAGCAGATGAAGGCGCACTGTGACCGCTAATTATCGGTCGTCATACGAGAATTTAACCATTCCTGAAATACCCTGCAATATTGCGAAGATTTCTTTTGGCTCAAAATGACAGGCGAATATTCCCCGATAAAACAAAAATTTCCTGCACGGAACATCACTGAGTGGCTGCGCCTGTGAGACATACTTCACCGTGTGTAACTGCTTTGAAAGGCGGTTTCACTGCCGCATAGGTTCTCTGTGCGGTGAAACCAACCACTTTGGGGATATTCGCAATGCCGTGAAGCGACCTTTCAAGACTGAGTTAGGTTATAGTGCCTGCAACCCTGTTAATTTTAAACAGCGAAGTTCATTGGACATTTGTATTTATAGTGGGATCATATCATAACATCCATCTATATTAAAACACTTGTGGGCTCTTATCGCAATAAGAACAAAAATTTATTGAGAAAACTGAGTTCATGTGTGCTACAAAAAAAAATCAAGCAATGCTTTATACCGCACGGCACTAGCAATGAGGTGGCACCTCGCTTCCAATTTTCTTTGTCTATTTGAATAGAACCATCATATGCATCATTTATAAATTTGTTGTACTGTTCTTGGGTCATTTATTCTCAAATTGTATATTCTGAATTTTCTTTGTTTTGGAAATTTTGGGTATACAGTGTTTTTATTTCATAACTTGATAAGACAGATGCTTGGGCTAGTTGGTGATAGGGGTTCAACATATTTGTACAGCGCAAGACTACGAGTAGTTACGATGTAACTACAGAAGAAGAGACAAGGACAGAAAGAGCGCTGACAACTGAAATTTTATTAACGAAAATGCTGGAAATATATACTCATGACGGAACACCACCGCGCAATGTATTGCATCACAGCAAGACAATCATCATCTCATTATATGGTTACAACGCCACAGCTCAGCACAAGTTCACAATCAATTGTGTCAAAGCCAGAAACTCGCTTTCTTTTTTAGTCAGAGCAAGCGAAGGCATGCTGATACATCGATCACCCAGCATTTGCATTTCATTGGCCTCCATAATCTCTCGTGTTAGCTGCTGACGGTGTTTGGCTACAACAGTGCACTTTTCGAAGTGTTGGAGGGCCCTATTAAGTTTAAAAGCTTGTTATATGGGCCAAGTAGGAAACCTTTAAACACAAATATTTCACTGTGTACAACTTGCAATGTAGTCATATTTAAATCATACATTTAATAGAAACTTGCTTCCACTTTGCTTCAACCCAAGGTAGCGTAAGTCAGAAAAACTTGTGGAGCTTGCTCAGACTCGGACTCAATAAACATTTTTGGGAGCCGTACTCACTATCACAAAAATTTGTTCAGCTGGACTCGCTCGGACTCACTGTCTTTTTCGACCACAATGCCAGTGCTTTTTAACACCGAAATTTCACGTAATCGATGCTCTTCTTGGCACCTTTTCATATGGTGCCTTCGAATACGAGTTACGAGTGCTCGTAAACCAGTAAGGTCGTTTTTCTTGAAAGAGATGACAGCGCAATATATATTCATCACCAACTTTTTTTTTATTAAATGTATGTAAGGAGAGGTTATCACCAACTTCCTTTAGTTGTCAATGGTTAGGGAAAGGTCGAGGCCTTCCACCATGTAATTCATGCCACTGATCAATAAATATTCAAATGGTATATAAAAGACACGGCTTTGAAATATGTGAGCATTGACGCGAGTATGAACGCTGATCTAGGTAAAGCAGATAGTAATACTGAAGACGAGTAGGTATGACCATAGCTTGGCAAATAAAAATCGAACTCAGATTCCCTCAGGAAATGTATCTTGCACTTTGGACTCGCTCGGACTCAGAAACACCAAAATTTTCCAGAGACGGACTCATTTAGACGCACACTCACAGAAATGTTAACTCATTCTGAGACTAGCGTCTCCATCCGAGTTAGAGTGAGTAGACTCTGAAGTGAGTTCACTGATATCTACAAGAAAGAGACATTCCTGGTATAAGAGCAAAAAAGGACACTGCTAAGAGGCGAGGAAATTACACAAGCGCATGTGATATTCGTACAAGCCTAATTCTTATTCGTAAAATTTTTAAGGTTATTGGATCATAATAAAAATGCTTGATTTAAATGATTCAACCAAATTACTACTTTTTCAACCTCACATAACTATTTGCCCATCACTAAACCTTGCAGTTCTTGCTTCTTCTGGCTGTTTTGGACAGGTGCGTGGAAGAAGTTGTGGCCGAAAATCACATGCATGTTTTCTGACAGGGCGAACTGTTGGAGGCCTATATTTTTCAATCAAATGTTGAATGGTAGAACTAATGATTACCAAGCATATACAAGCTGTCTTGTCAGGTTTCATGCATATTCGGAATTCGCTGCAAGGAGGGCTCGTTATATGTAATCAATTTGCAGTATTTCTAGTGCAATGAAGCTGTAATATTGTAGTACAATTTTTTTAAAGGGACTGTCTACTGCACAGAACCTTTTGCTTATTATGGTGAAAATGAGAAGATTGTTAATCTCATCAGCACCAATGAGCATGTTTTTGTACCATATAAAAGGAGTAATTTTGATGTTGAAAATCTACAAAGCAACTGCTGGCATCACCCAGCAGCTATGTGGTTCTATTTATCCACACAGAAATGCTCGCAAGTAGGCTGATTTTGCTTAAAAACAAACATGTTTAACTTGAAATTGCATTTCATTCCCTTGAGGCAACTTTAGACTGCACAAGAGAGTACTTTTGCTTGTTTTATCACGCGTTCAAAGAGGCACCGTGGCACTGCCGGCAAGACGGTCGCGTGCTTGCCTACGGCGGAGAAAAGCGAGTGCTGCGTCTGGCGCCGCTCTCAACAACAACAAAAAAAAGTCTTTGGCAAGTATTAGCACAACTGATTTCAGTAAATTTTCAAACCTTGCCCGTGGGTCCAGTGTCATCTAGTAATGTTGCGCGAGCCTTCGTGCTTAAAGTGCACAACAGTACTTACCAAAGTTCTAACATTGGAGAACATTTTGCCATCACGTTTCGCTTAATCATGTTGCCCATGCTGGCTCTCATCCCATATGCAACGCAGAACACCTAAACACAACTGCAAGACAGCGGGGACATTCTGCTGTTTTGTGAAGGACATTTCATGTTTGTTTTAGTTGCATGCACACTTGGCAGGAGTAAAACCACTACAGTTCGTTTCACAATGCTGGCGTACCAGTGTTGCTGGAACAAACTCTTCCCCTCAACTGTGGTGGTTTTTGAGGCTAACTAAACAAAGCTGGAGAAACTTCGGTAATACATTATCTGACAATTTCCATGCTTTATACGACCAGAACGGTGTATGTAGTATTATTGGTGAAGGCCTTGCAAAAACTGCACACGGTTTCAGTTTTAGACTTTCACACCACTGTGATCACGTCCACCAGCCATCGTTCCGGGCGTTCATCGCTCCGATGGAAGAAGACTGAACGCAGAATAAAAATTTTTTTCCGAGGATTTCTACACACTGGCCAGAGAAGCCGTTGGAATGTTGGACACTTCAGACGTATGCTTTTTATTGCGATACAAAACAGCAAAGCAGTGGAGGACTATCATAGTCACTTGAAAGTGAAAGACTTACTTGGGGTGCTGCCTTGCATTCTGGCCTTCAGAGCTTGCATTTGAATGACTAAATTACTTATAAGCCCAGACTCGGAGAGGACACTGCACTTGTTTGCGCTTGTTTCATCATGAACCTTTACCAACACGCCCAACTGGCAGTCATCCTATATACTTATGAGCGCTAAATAAAGCTAGAATAGATTTATCGTCATTGTACCCTACCCACCAGAAGCTTCAGATGGTCTCGTCTAGCCTCTCGATGCCCGTGGGGTGTGTGAAAAAGGATGCAAACAGACAGTTTTTATTTCACTTGTGTATTTGCTTACTTGTAAATAATAAAATCACCAATGTTCATTTTCATGAGTTTGGTACAATAAGGACATAATAGTAACACGCCGTTAATACAAAATAATTGAACTCTCTTTTTTTTTCTTGCAAATGGTGCTTTCATTCCTTATTGAGCCACCTCTGCTGCTTCTCAGCGCACAAGCTCCACCATCCATTGCCGCGCACCCCCACAAGGCAGTCCTACTTGCCCATGAAGCATAGAAAAATGTGAGCCATGTTAACTCAATACTGTGTGCCCACAGTTGACATGCATCTCCATGTGCAGTACCCTATAGGTGTACTGCTTGCCGAAAATATATCTGGTAAGCTTAGTGATCAAAATATGTCATCGACAATGCACTTCTCATGGTGTTGTATGCATTATGTCTTGGGGTCCTCTTTATTGTGCTGCTTGTGTGCTTCTCTGTGTGTTCAATTTCCTGCCTTTTTTTTGACTTGTACTATAGTTCTGATACATCTAGGGTTGCTGACTGTTTCCATTTCCTCATATTTCCTTGCAAAGTTCTGCGAAACTAGAATAAAAATTGACTTGAAAGCAGGTCACAGAACTCGATACTTAAAAACACTTTGGTATCTTTCCTACTTGCAGGCTGGCCACCAAAAACAGTGTGAACCTCGGTGCTAAGGGCTTGAATGCCACTGGGTTGTAGTGCCACCAACAGCAAGGGGATCGCGTCGTGATGGAAGAAGGGGATGCGCGGGATCACGTGCGATCCAGCAGCAATACTGGCGCGAGGGGGACAGAAAATAAAGAAAACATTGGTTGTGTGAAAACCTGTCGAGTCTTTTTCTCACATGTGCTACACAAGGTATACTAACGTTCTCCTCATTGTGGACATGTACTGTGATAGGGACAGCAGCTGCCTTTGTGTAGTATTTCTGAATGCTTTGTTGTTGTTACTAACACAAAGCTGTCACATAATTTAACCTTTTACTTCACTAAAATTATAAATGAACTGTAATAATTACAAGAGCAAGCCTAAAAATGTTGATACTTCATGTTACTTTGCCTGAAAAATGTTAGTTTTTGAAGCATGAAGTTGGTTTTGTTTAATCCCAAACAAGCGAACTCCACTTCTTAAAGGAGTGCCAACCCCTGATGTCCGACTAAGTTGGCATAAAAAGGACTGAATCATCGGCTTTCAGTGCTTGTAAGGAATGTTGGGTGAATGTCAACCGTTTGACACGCTATGTACACAATTGTGTACACCCCTTGATTTTTCTATTTATATATGTAGGGGCTAAGAAACATCAAAATATATTGACTTTCTAATCTCTTTATTTAACTTCGTTTTGCAGCATACAGTTGCATATTTATTTTTATTTTATTTACTCTCGAAATCCTTACGGTATTAATAGAGGGGACTGGTTACAAAGTAGACAAGGAAAATGCAGCATGAAAAGTTACTAAACAAAGAATAAACTCATCATTACACAATGTTAGCTGTGTAAGGACAACAAACACAATACATAATTCAGCCTGTAAATACAGAATGTTAGTTAGTCTATTTTGGATAATTACAGAATACTGAGTAAAGTTTATTGGAAAACAATTACTAATAGTGACATGTCTTCAGGTAGTTGGTTTCAATGTACCAATGTACAAGATGAAAACACTGGGAGTTGCATAATGCGATGCCAACCTTATGACGAGGTCACTGCAATGGAATATGTACTGAGGATTCAGGATTAGTTGGTCATGCGGGGTGGTATGACAGAATAATTCGTGAAATGAAGCCAAATAGGATATTTTCCAAGGGGGTGCAAAAGAAGCAAGGCTTCGGCTGGATTTCATTGAAGTTATACCAGCAATGCAATTACAGTGAGAAGGTTTCAAGCGGATGGAGTTATTCTGTACAAACAAGTGAATCAAGTTGTCGTGGCAAGGGTCTCGCACAGAAGAGGCATATTCAAGTTTGGGACGTAATAATGTTTCATATAGGAGTAGTTTTAGTGTATATCGGGGTTTTGAGAAGGTGCAATGTATGTAGCCTAACTTGTAATCGGCATTATTAGTAACATATTCAGTGTGAGGTGCCTGAGGTAAGTTCAATGTGATAAGAACACCTAATTATTTATATGAGCTGACCCGATTGTGTAGGACATTTACCTAATATGTTAGCAAGATGTCTGCATAGCTTCTTACGTACATTTGCTTAAATTTACGCATGTTTAAATCTATTTGCCACGTGCTGCACCAAGCTGCTACAGTGTTGAGGTAAGATTGGAGAAATGAACTGCCATTACCACTACTTACTTTATTGAAAATTATGCAGTAATCTAAAAAACATTAATGTTTGAAGAAGTTGAAGATTACAGGCTCAAGGTCGGCGTCGGGTATCTTTTTTGGCACTGGAGCTGGGTTCATGGCTTGATGGGGGCGCCCAGAACATAAAAGAAACCACCTCCACCAGATGTCGCATAGTTGTGATATGGACTAAGGCAGCAGGCGGCACTTCCAAGATGAAATTTTTTGTTTGGCCATACTTGTGGCCGAGAAACAAAGTCAAAGACTACAGTAAAGCACAAGTTCGGTTTCTTTTTGAATGCACCTCGTGTTATGCCGCTATTTTTGTTGCAATAGAATATCGAGTGCCTTGAAATGTCAGTTTCACACAAGTACATACAGTTCTTCGTAGGTGGTATCTGAAAGGGCTAAGAGAGCAGTTCACTTTTATTACTTTTTTTCTTCTCGCAAGAAACCCTTGCACCACTTGGGCCGTAGCCCAATCATTCGCAAAGTTTGAGATTAGCTAGTTTGTATGACGAGACCTCAATGTCGAGGTGTTTCATGCATTTGGCACTGTAGTCACTGCCTGCAATGCTTCATTTATGGTGCTGGCAACAGTGCTGTCACCAGGGATATTTTAGGGGGAGAGAGGAACACATGCTCAGTACAGTACTTGCAACAACCCTGAATGGCAGTGAAAAACTTGTGCAAATACACATGCCAGTCATGAGGCATATGAACATCGATACTTGTATAATGCCTTGCTGAATCGAAACTTCGTATAGAGATTAAATAAGAGGTGTGAGCATAACATTTCACAGCTCTGCATTTGGATATCCTCGCACTTTTCCAAATTTATATTTCGGGCTTCTGGATTTATAGATGTCCACATCTCTTTGAGAAACATAAACTAGTATGCCAGCAGTCGTCAAGCTTCTAATCTTCGTAACTGCAAAAATATTAGAAATGTATGCAAAGGAATAAGCTATCTTTTATCCTCAATGCCAAAAGACATAATAAACTGGGTGTATTATGCTGTGTCTATAGGTGCTATTATGAATATTTTCATAGCATTACAAAGACTTAGCATCGATGTGTACAGCTGACTGAAATGCGTGGCCTCCACATTAGACCAGCAGCTTATGTTGGCAAGTATTTTTACATATTCAAGGCCACTTGTGGCAGCCTCGGTTGGTCCAATTTTGTTCAGAATGCTTCTTTAAAATTAAGAAATATATTGCTTTTTTTTTACAACAGCTTATAAGTCTTACAGGCGGTGCGGTTTACTATTTCCTCTGATTTTAACATTACATTGCAGTGAAACGCCAAGTTCATAGGCTGAAGAGGTGTATAGGCATTTTAGACAACTCGTGCAAGAGCTTTCAGAGCTTCGCAGAAAATAGACATTGCTGGCATTAACCGATATATTTGCCACCATGCCTGTGAAGGCTTTGCAAAACAATTTCCAGAAAATATTTGCCTTTGCTGCATTTTCTACCTGGCATATGCTGTGTTGCAAAAGGCAGTTGAACTATTTGCTGCATTGAATTCAATATCTGTTTCTAAAGTGTATACCAAAGTCTTATTGCATCTTATAATCCTTGCACAAATCAGGCAGTCATATGCACGGATGTTTATTTGAACAGGTACATGCGTAAGGACTGGCTCTGACCTATACAAGGTTGGATGATGAGGGGTCTAAGCAAGCAATGATCCTGTGATACTTCGAATGACATTTCACCAGCAAAGCGTTGTTTTTAAATGATGCAAAATAAAACAAGGTGTAATTGCAAGATCCTGGGTGACTTTTATGGTCTCATAGTTTCCTAAAAGTAACTCTGGCACTGCAGTCGTTTAGTTGCCATGGGAATGATGGGTACTTCACAGATTTGCCTAGTTTTCGTGTTTGCAGGCTTCCCATGCACTTGTGGCTGTGTTTATAGCTATGCATTGATTTTAAACCTTTGCTAAACTTTGTCTTGTGGCAAAGCGAATTCAGGCCACACGGAGCTAAAAGAACGAACATTAGACACATTCGTGTACTACCCATCCCTGCCATGCTAGCTGAAGTGCTGTGCGTTGCAGCTGCCACAGACACTAGCATCAAAGTTCTCTATGTTTCATTCAGAGCATGGTCTATGCTTTAGAACATCCTCCAGTGTATCTCTATGCATGGTCTGCACTCCTGCTTTTATTTCAATTTCATGTGACGGCTATGTGGCACTTGTGGCCAGGTATGTTTTTTTTTTACTTGCCATCAAGTTTGCATGACTGCTTGTTGGACAAGGGCGGGTTGTAGAAAAAAAAAGAGAAAAACATCATGTCGAGGTGCTCGGTCGCATATTATAAAGTTGCGCGTGCCCTCACAGCTTCACCGCATTACACATGCATGCTGCACTGAAGCGCCAAAAAAGAAAAGAAAACACGGGCGCTTTTTTCTGCAGGACGCACCAGAAAAATTTTGTTTTTGTTCGAACCTTACTTGCGCCGATAGGCAATATTTATTCAGCGGCGTTCTTTTGCCTTAACGATGGCGTATTAGCTTGTCCGTGTAATATATCAAGGAGGCGTTGAATATATGAACGGGCGAGGCCGGAAGCTTTACTTTTTTTAAGCCGCACAATGGTGTTTGGAAGGTCTCCGTGTGGCATGGCACGTTCCTATTCATAATGCGTAGCTTAGAAGTCAGTGCTGAGCATCAGCTAAAGCTAATTAACCCTGAAGTGACGACCGCGACGTAGCGGAGTGTGATTTTTCCGAAACCCCCTTTCTGACCAGCGACGAGGCAAGGCTTGCACAAGTACGTGATCGCGTCGTTTTGTGTTGATTGCATACGACTTAGTAAACATCCAAACTTACATCGTTGATAACAGGCCGGCAAAACGTTGGGCAGAGCGAGGAGCGCAGCGCAGCGGCGATACAAGGCGCGCGCACTGCTTGAAACATGAACGATTGCGAGATGTCAATCGTAGAGGGTTTTCCTTTTCTTGATCACATCGTTCCAGTGCCCACTTGCGTCATGAACGAGCCGGCTTTCGGTTGCGAGAGGCGACAGGTGGGCGCACACGATTTCTTCGCGAGTATCCAACTCAACTCGCCGCAGGTCCAAAAGCCTTGAGGGGTTTCCTTTGCCAGCAAGGCGGCCCCCGCTAGGTGCAGCAGCAGCCTCCGGCAACACTATACGAAAGTGCGGGGAGCGACAGCGCGATATCACAATTAGACCGGCGGAAATGCATAGTCTCCAAGAGCGCTGAGCCGCGGTGCATTGTGGGTGGCTCTATCCGCTCGCCTTTGTAAACTCGCTGCCCGGATGGAGTGACTGATACCACCACCACCACCACTGATGATGCCTGGATGGAGGAATGCCAACCCGATGCCTTTTGTGTTGGCCGTTCTGGCAGTTCCGCCGACTGTATAGAAAGAGACGACCCCGTCGCTTGTCCTCTTTTCTTTTCCTTCGGGCATCAGCGACAACATTGACGGACGACGTGTTCGACTTCACCGTGCACGTGAGTATAGGTGGTTTTTCATTCGAGTGAATTCTTGTTCAGATTTGCAACTTGTCGACTTCATCGTGATCACCTGTCGCCGGCAATAAGTCACATACGTGCGATATTTAGGTGAAATAAATGATAATGCACATTTTCTGCTCCATTTGCGTGACTTAGCTACACCAGGACGTGAGCTAAAGCCTTCGTCGCCTAGCCACTAGCTGGCAAGATCGATCACTCGCATCCTTCAGTTCACGAATCAACGCGCCTGCCTTAAAGTTAGTAAGCTAGCTTGCTCGCAAAGAAATCCCACCGAGGCAATTTTGTTTTCTGTGAACAATGCACCGTAGATTTGTCTTGAATAACAAAAAAAAAACTTGAAAAATAAATGTCGCGACCTTTTAGAAAACGCCGTGTCTAAGGGCTGGACGTGGCATTTTGTAAAAGGCTCAGTAAATTCAGTATTTTTTCGTAGTTTCTGCTTGAAATTATTATTGTCTATGAATTTCATGGCCCAATCTTTCACTTTGGCTGAAAATCTCGGCGGCAAAAACTTTGTTCAGTGTCCCTTTAAGGGCAGGTGTAGATGCCATCATTTCAGTAGCTAATCTTTTTGCTAGTCGGTCGGCTGGTTTACAATAAGGGTACTAACTAGAGTTCCAGATTTCATCAGCAACACATCATCATGGCTTCATCAGATGCTGCATTATATACATTCTATCCTCGTTTTTAAATAGGTGTACCGTATTGTCCACTGTTACAGGAAACAAGCGAGCTCATAGACAGTGAGCCATGTGATGCTAACTGGCAGCGAGGCTTGTGAATGGGACGCATGCGCATAGAATCGGGGTGCGCCCAGTTTTGTCGGCCATTTCTCCGCCTGTACGCATGACAGCATTGAAAAGCGCATCCGTATTTTATCTGCGCAATTTATCTAGCCCAGTGCCTCCTGCTTCAGGGATTTCCTGTGAGCACAAAAAATGCATGATTTTAATCGTTGCTGCAGTGTTTTGCAAGTTGTCACCGTAAAGCACATCATATTTTTCGCGTAATGCTCGCTGCAACTGGCAAGTTTCGATGACTGCAAAATGCTGTTCAGGTCTGATGTAGCAGACATTTTAAGCTCGTCCTCGAGACCATGAAATATTGGTTTATTAAATAATGGAAGGCAGAGTTGGTATCAGTTGATTTACAGTGTGAAAATGAAAAGTGCGAAGAACCGTGCCTCGCAAGTAAGCCCCGAGAGCATGAGCAGAGAAGTAGCAGATGACGATGCGCATGCGCTGCATTTCCAAATCTCACCAGCACTAGTGCTTGACGGACTGCTGGTTATGCACTAGCGTGTTCCTTCTGAAACAGGACTTTGGCCCTGTAAGCAAGTTCTTCAAGGGCATAAGTAAAACGTAGAATGGGCCCCCTAAATGCACCCATCCTTGAACCATTGGGCTTATGAATTAGTGCCCTTTTCAAAATACAACTATTCTGAGCAATTTAAATTGTGACAGAAGAGTGCATGAAGTTTAAAAATGGGAAAAAAGTCTTTAAATGTCCCCTTTATACATAGTGTTCTTGTGATGTCACTTCTGCCGTTGTCGCCCTCTCCCGCCATGCCCGGGTAACTCTCTGGATACCTACGGCAGTTCACGTGCTGCAGTGCAGTTTGTTTGGGGCTCGTCATCTGTTGCTGTGAACGATGTGGAAGCATTGTGGTTTTTTGTTGTCTTACTTTAACGAGTTCATTGGATCAGGAAGGCCTTGCTCGTTCACTCGATACAAGACCAGATAATCAAGATGTGCGACACATACATCAGCCACGGCGTACACCGGCTGCCCGCCACAACCTATGAGGGCCTATTATCTTGCTTTCACTACAAATTGCCTGGCCCAAAAACAAGTGAAAGCTCAAAATCTCTCGAGCCGCAATTTTAAGAGTGGATGTGCGAATCGTAGCAGCTCCCATCGAAAACTAGTCGTGCAGAGCTAGGCAAGTTTACAAGAGATATAATATTATGAATATATTGTCGCGGCCCACGCCACCGAAGTAGCAATGCCCCCCCCCCCCAAGTGTTTTAAACAGTGCTGATGTTGAGCTTGAGCCTCTTTGATTGCAATTTGTGGAAATAGTCGAGGAAAATATTATACAAGGCAGATAGCGACTTTGCGTGGTGTGTGCCGCGGTAATGCCAGTCATCACTTTATTTTTCGCGTATGCTTTAACACACTTTTCACTTTGTATTTTGCTTTTGTTGTACGCTAATGTACAGTGGAGTCACTGAACATGATAGAGACCGTGTATAGAATTAATTGACTAATTAAAAAAAATCCTGATGCCCAACTTGAACCGATCGGCTATACTTCAAAGTGAACTAATATTGTTTCCCATTCTTTACAGTTTATTGCAATACCAAATCTCCGTGATCGCCATCACGATTTTAACCGCCTTCCTCGCCTTCATGATTTTAACTGCGGACAAGTTTGTATGTACAGTATCTTGGTGAGCTATATCTGTTTGCAGGTAAATACTTGGCTATGGCACTTACTTGTAATGAAGTTGCACCTGAAGATGCAAGTATTGCAAAGTTTCTTCAAGTAGCTTTTGTTAATCTGCACCAGCCAAATATGCTGGTACTTTTAGGAAAATTGCAATGTGCGTTCTCAATTTTAGGTAATAACTTTCAGCGAAGAAACACCCTAAGCTCTGCTCCCTCTGCGTGGACTACTAAATCAACTTGCCTCACTAGCAGCTCATAATTTCTCAAACTTGCATCGTGAGGCAAAACTAAACGGGTGCAAGCACGAGGAGACAACATGGCAGTTGTAGGCGATAGATTCGGTTGGTGCCCGGACATGTCGGTGGCGCATTTGGGAAGTGACGAAAAGGCACTGCGAGATGCACGTGCACACTTTGTGTAGTTGTGTAGTTGCTGTATTGGACAGCAAACTTTTTTCTTATCTGGGCAGCTTTACCAAAGGAAGCTTCATCATATGGCGTGATAAATGAAGCGAATCCACAGGTTGAACCGCATCATTGTCTCGCTGTGCTTTTGTACTTTTTTTAGCTCACAAAATTTATTTGTACATATAAGTGACAACTTGCCAGTAATAAGGCAGCACTCGTTTCTTTACCATGTGATCATCTCCGGTGTGCTGCTGCCTCAATATTTCAAATTCTAAGCATTTACACCATTGTATGCTAACTTTTTCTTCAAAGGGAGACAAGCCACATGTGTATCGTAGATCAAGAAGCATGCCAGTTTCACGTACTTGTAAGGTAAACTTCAGAAATGCACAGTTGATCAAAAATATTAGTTTAATGGTGCATCTACATAGCAGAGCACCTGTGGCACCAATAAATCATTTTGCATAGCTTCCATGTATTCATTGTACATCTAAGACTACCAATTATTGTGCTGTTCCACATTGTCCATGGGGCTATTAGGCACAGAATAGATCACTGTTGCATGTGGCAGTACTTTGTATGGCACACTAGACAAGGTCGAACAAGCTGTCAGCTGCAGTGCGTTCAGGAAAAATCTATGCTATTTTGTACAGACAGTGCTGTCACATTTCATCAGTGTGCAGTTTTATCGAATATCATTAATATACCAATACATCCTTATTTACATTAGGCATATTGCAGAGAGCAATTAAAAACCTTTGTAGCATAATGTGAAAGATGTCAGTTTGTTTCATTTTTAGCACTCTATACACTATAATTTCTCTTTTTCATTCATGTAAATTATAAGCTACCATTTTTCAGTGTATGTTGCCATCTGTGGTTACAACATAACATGTAAGGCACTTGGTACCTCTTCTCATTATTCATAAACATTGAATTTTTTCTTGAAGTTTGAGGCGTCTTCTTTATTAGAGCTGCTCTGGACTTGACATGTAGTTCGTTATCAGTGAATGAACAAAATTGACGCGGTATCTTGGCTACAAACTTTACCACTTTGATTACAGCATGCGAAAGCTTTTTGCTGTCGTGACGTTTCCCGAAGAACAAGATAAAGTGGCCGTTGTGCCACTCTCGTGGCTAACGGAAGACCGGGTCCAGTGCCACTGGCCTCCAAAGAGGAGGGGTGTTCGGGTCGAAGAATTGGTTCGAGACCGGGTGGACGCAACTGCAGTCTGGCAAAAGTACCCAGTTTGTCTTGTGACTTGTTGCAGTAAGTGAAGTTTCTGAGTTTTTTGTGTTTACCTTGGGCACATCAGACTAATTATAAAAAAAAGAAAAACTTTTCACTTAAGAAAAACCCGAAATTTGGGCACATTAACATGTGCCACTTTCCTTGTCCCTTAGTTTTCTTTGTTTTATTGTTGTGTTTTCTCTTCACACACCAAATTAGGCATGCCACTTTATCTCAGTATCTCTTCCAATTTTTTTTAATGCAGAGCACTTCAGGTGGTAAGGCTGTTGTATGCTGTCACTGTTGCTTGGCCTGACACCTGCAAATCTACATACAGCATATTGAGCGCATGCTCACACTTAAAAGAAGTCTTCCTCCTCTTCTCTGAGTGTTTCAACAGTGATATTAAGGTGGGACATTACTACTATGGCTAGGTGCAGCGTTAATATTCTGTCTAACAAAAAAATGACCCCTTAAGCGTACACTTCTTTCTTATCGCTCCACAAACATGACAATGCAAACCATGCGTGAAAATTACGAGAGGAAGCTGGCAAAATAATAAGAAAAGGAAAAAAAGGATACAAAGTAAAAGAAATAGAAACACAAAGATAAATACAGAAAAAAGTGAGGAAAAAGGAGAGGAGGAAAAAAACCAAAGAGAAACAAAAAAGGCTCCACACTTCCTTCAGGCTTAGCAGCAGCAGGGCTAAGCTGCCTTAATTCTTTTCTCGCCTCATTTTCTATTTGCCCTTTTCTTTGCCCCTCTTGTTTCGGGAGGGCATAGAAAGCATAATACAAACCTGCTATGGTAGGCACTTATGAAAAGAGACTGCAAGTTCGGCACAGTGACAACCACTGTTCATGGATCTTTCACTAGGTACATAGTCACCTAACACTTTTACTTTCTTTGAGGCTCTAGCCGACACCAGCTGAAGAACGGGGACCAACACTGCCAATTAGTCGTACATATCCCCGGAGACTGGCATGCATCATGCGTCTGTGTAATGCACAGCGTTCTCATTCTGGCGCATGCAACTTACTCTATGAACATTTTCGTGATGATGAATCTAGGCTTTGAAAAAATACTGGGCTTGAATTCTTCAGAATATATATGAATTGGTTAAAAATTAATTTAGACACCTTGTGGCACCGACGTTCGGCATAGCAATAGCCATGTGGGAACAGAAGGCTCAAAACAAACAAATTATTTGGGTGACTGAACTGATGTCACTGTCATGAAGTCGGAGCTTCTGAGACTCTCGATCTTTTTCGTTGACACCATGCACATGGTCCACTAAATGGCCACCTATTATAGCAAGCAAGATGTTGCCATCAAGCAGTCTATCTTCTTGACATGTCCACATGAGCTAGCTTCAACCAGTCTATAAGAATTGTCTAATTGTGTTCGTTAACTAAAAGTATAAAGTACTTCAAATCGCACTTGAGGACTTTAAAAGGGTCATTGTAAGGTGCTTGTAATGGAGCGTGAGTAACATCATAGTGGATGAAGATGCGGCTGGTATAAGCTGTCTTGGAATCATGACGAAGTGGCGGTACTGCGGCAGTAGCCATAGTAGTTCGCAGGCAATCGGCATAGTAGTGTACCTCAATTGTACTTTACTTCAATTCTGAAGTAAAGAATTCGCAAGGTACTCAAACTGCAGTGCCAAAAACTAGCTCTGCAGACGAGCGCTGCGTGTTTTCTTTCAACGTTGTGTGAAGACCTAGTAAAACGAAAGGCAGGTGCTTGGTCCATGGAGTTCTTGAGAATTGTGCTCGTGACGCTTTTAGTTGTGCTGATATTTTGGGGGTTAAGTTGCTGCTGAAAATGTGTTGCTCTGGGTGTTTATTGGAGAGTGAAAGCACATTGTGATAATCTGCTGTGGCAACTTCCGAATAGTTGCCTTGCACGGACAAACTATGTCTTAGCTTTAACAACTTGTCACCACTTGCTAGGTTTGCCGCCCGCTTTGCAATACTGTGATCTATCCTTACCTTGGTTGCAGTGCAACACAAAACGAAAGCAACAGGGAGTGAATTGACAGCACGGCACTGTGTTGTCGCTTTTCTTCCTGTTGTCCTCATCTTGAGCTTTGCTGTAATTTAAGTTAAAAAGTGATTGCAACCAACTGGCCCAGCATGCCATCTACAGTTGAACCCCGCTACAATGAACGCCGCTACAATGAGTACCAGCTTAGTGAATTTGTACAAATTGTTGGTGTTTCTAAACTGGTCACTTTTTCATTGATTGTATAAACACATATTAAGATATGTACTGCAACATGACACTTCCATGGGTCATGAAACTGACTCCTAACAATATGTACGACTGATAACTTTTAAAGCATGTAGAAACATCTAGAACTGTTAAGGAGAGATGTGGGTCGCAAAACAAGAGTTTTCTAAAAAATTTACAATTTTTGTTCTCACCTGTGAAGAATAGAACCTTTACTGTACCGAAAGAAGATATATATGTCGATACTCAACCAAAAATGCTTTAAAATTGTGTCTAAAGAGCACAAGTTAGTTGTTAAAAAGTTGTTAGTGTGCAGTCTTTGAGCACCTTACCCCTGATAATGCGCCACCGCTCGCCATTGTCGATCGCATGAGGCAAAGAGCCAACCCTCACTCTTCAAATAACTACTGTTTTCTTCACTGCTTCAGTGCAAGAAATAAACAGAAGCATGCTTTTACCCAGTTTTCTTTAATGCCGCGACTGGCTTTTATATTGTGTGTTATGGATCGGGGATAACCACTGTGTGTAATGTAGAGCCTACTTGCGGGGTTCATGTCTCGTCAAGCAGCACAGTTGAAAGCTTTTCTTGTGTGTTTATCTCTGTTATGGACCCGGAAAGGTGTAGCTCAAGCGATAGCTGTGCTGCCAGTGGGAAAGCTGTTGTGGCAGCGCACCCTGTAGGAATGGGCTATGAGCAGTTGGTCCGATTTGCGGCAATTTTTGGCTTGAACTTTGGCCAATGCATCATGAGTCATTTACAGCCACCAGCTGGAAAGCCCGTGATTTGTCAATATACGTCGTCTGTGGCAGTTTTAACCGACTCGTTTTTCACAAAATAAATGTTGCCATTTTTTGCAATGTGCCCCTCTTTTTTCGGGTACTTCTGGTGCTTGGATCTGCATACAGTTCACCCAATCCATTCCAAAGTACGAGAAATGCGGTTACCTTGTTTCAATTTCAGTATTTTTATATAGTAAAAAAATTAGTTCTATGTAAACTTTTACTAGGGTAGAATAAACAGAGACTTTCTATGTTGTAATTTTTCATGACTATTACAGATTTTGTATACACTTTCTAATTGGCTTTCTGCATTCTATACTTTATTTAAAATATTATGAACTATCAGTTAGTAGTGGAAAGAGGAGGGGGGGAGGCTAGAGGTTTTTGCTTTGTCACGTTGCGGGACTCAAAGTATGCAGCTTGCGAAAAAACTAATTATATCTTTAAAACCTCCATAAAAAGTTCTGCAAACAGCTCAAGTTTCATTGCTTTAAAACGGTTGTTTTGGTGTCATTCTTCAGTTTCTGATCATAGCTGTGCGAGTTTGTTTTCAATATTTTCTAGGGTTGCAAATTTATTTCTAGGGACGTTTGTCTTTCTGAGCATTAGACGGGCACTCTTTAACTAGTTGCGTGACCCTATGTTGCCTTTATTATGATTTGCTCTAAAAAATCTTTCGTTCGCAGGCACTTTTGAGAAAGCTGAGTGCCGTGCCACTGGTGCACAGTACGGCCTAGCGGCAGACACAACGGAGCAATCAGGTAATTGCTTACATTCATGCTTTGCTTACATAAAATTGTAAGCTGGTGCCTGCTTATCATGCCTGTTAAAGAAGGTGAAACAAGTTTGGAAGAGATGATGACCACTTTGATAATTGAGCTAGCTAGGAGGTTAACCTGAAGAAACCATTCGGATCTAATTGGCAAGCTGAAGTGTAAACCAAAAGCAATGTTTATGAATAATACAGTGCCTAAATTTCCATCCTATTTGGAAACTGTGGTCATATAGTAGCTTCCAATTCTTAATGCCCCAAAATGTGGTAGTGCTCATTGAATCCAAGGAAAACAATGGGGCTTCCATCACTACAGTATTTCATTTTTAAAGATACGGTATAAGCTTTTTTTGCCACTTCATGCGACCTTAAAAGGTCCACTTATTTGTTTCATATCTAACTGTCGTTTAAAATAGATGTACATGCATAAACGTTCTCTTTAGGCAATGAAGACCACAATGAACTGGAGGCGGGAGGGGGGGGGGGGGGGGGGAGCCTGTGGGACTGCAGCGGATGAACGTAGGGTGTGTGTTTAATATGTGGAAAAAAAAAATCAAAATTTTGGCGACTGAAATGGGGGTGACTTAGTGAGTGCGTTCATGACGAGAGTAAACACGGTTATTATTTTTTCAAATCTCTTTTGGAAGCCAGGAAAGATATATATGTATGTGGTGCAGCCTAACAGAAGGTCCGTGAAGGCTAATTATGAATTCGTCGTTGTACGAAGGCCTAATTTTTCATGCGCACCATAAATAGTGTTCAAAATTTGATTGCATATGTTGTTTTCATTCTCGCTGTATTCCGTGCTGTTGATGATGTAAAAAAGAAAAAAGTAGCACACTGAGAAGTGGTGCTGCTTTTGGGCAACAGTTGAAAATGGCAGGATGCATGAATGCGGAATACTGCCGTTTACACTCAAATCACTCTTGCGCTCACCTCCCACTGTTTGCAGCATGTGTTGTGTGTACACAGCTGTATATTTCCTAGCTAGAAAAATTTAATTTTAAGTGTTTCACGCCATTTTTCATGTAACTATTCCACGATTGCACACACTGATCAGCAGGCTTTCAATTGCGCTGAAGGACACAGGTGCCATAAAAATTCATAGTCGATTCTTTCAAGAAACCGCATGTAAAGGCTGAAGCTTCATATGTACATACACACACACACACAGCATATTGTTTTTTGTACTTTATGAAAGCTGCCAAGGTCTCATGTGCCTCCAAGCGTAACCTGTCTTATTCATTCTCCATCACTGCGAAAGTTTTGTGAGTTTCAAATAAAAGTACTTTGTGCATGGCCACGTTTGGGTAATTTTTTGTGTAGGTGTTATTTGAGCAGCCTACAGTGTTTACTTTCTAAGCCTGTATGAATATGTTGCATTATAAGGATGCAGAATGTGTGTGGCTGTACAATATAGATGAAGTGTAAAAATTAAGTGTGTCAATTGTAGTGTTCTTGCAACCAATCTTACCCCCATATTCTAGAACGTCCCTCCACTCAACGCTTCACCTTCACTTGAAATGACCGATGGGAGCGCCGTCTTTAGGCAGAGAAAGTCGCTGCATGTCAGCAATAATCTGCTGTGATTCTCGAGTAGCGTAGCGTCGCTTTCAAACGAGCAGCGGCACAGTGCTCAACTCTGTCAAGTGAAGGGTGAAAGTCGAGTCGAGGAGCGTTTATGAATATGGGGGTTAGTTTTGTTGTCTTGTTAACCTGCCATTAACACTGGATTGATGCTACTTTGCTCTAGCTGTACAGTGCTCTCCAAGGCACAAGGAGGCACCGCTGGGGGAAGGCTCGGAGCAAACCATGCTTGAGTTTGCTTTCATTGTTACACTATGCACGTATTAAGTGATGGACTTTAATGTATGCTATTTGTATTGTGCAAGTTTTTGGGGACATACAACTTCCAACACTTATATGTTCTGACGAAAATCACGCAAGAATGAGAGAAGAAGCTTGTGCAAAAATCATGCAAGAGTGTAAGAAGCTTGTGCAGAAGTCTGTGAAATGAAGTTTTGAAAATTTGTGGCAATGTGTCATTGTACAGCGGTCAACAGTCTTGCTCAGCATGCTTGACTGCAGGGCTCCCGGCTGCACAGGCACATCTACGAAGTGCCTGATGCATGATGGGCCAAATGTCAGCCGGCACAGTCTGTATTAGCGCACCTGCTGGGAATTTTTTCTCTTTGTTTATCGTCCGGACTTCAACTATGTTATGGCATTCAGAAGTGCTGTAGGCGATGCAGCATCACAGAAAAAATAATTATTGACCATCTCCCCAAAGAGAATCATGATGGGATGGGAAGCAGCAGTGGTATACCCAATGTTGACTAGGCTGAAACAGGCGTCAAGGCAGACGCTGAAAGAACAGGTTGAAGTGAAACTGTGTAACCTTTACTCAAGTAAACGTTTTTTTGAAACGCAAAGACACGGGAGGCGGGTTGGAGTTTCATCGCAGATAAAGGAGCCGAAGGAGTGTTTCCACTCGACGGGCGGTTGAGCATTGCGGGTGGTGGAGAGGGTGAAGCGATAGAAAAGTCTGTTGCGAGCAGGTAGAGAAGCAACACCACCTGGGTTTGTTGGGAGCTGCTGCGGCTGAGGGAGAGAGTGATGTCAATGTGCAGCTGTGGCTTGACCTACTTGGCATCGTTCCAACAACTGCGGCTGGGCAACGCAGTGGGGCGATTTAGCATGGAGACATGGATGGACAGGTTACACAGGCTGCTTCGCATCTAAAGGAAAAATGTGGAATCACTAGACTTAGTGCCCTATGCAAGAAATCCTGCAAAGGTTATCTTCAGTCTGTAGTGTTTGCAGGTTTGCATAGGATGCGGGCCAAGGGGATTTCTCGTGTTTTAATTTCCTTTCTTTGTGGTTTCGCTACACCGTCGGCGGCACCTCTGATGGCCTAAACAGTTGTAGCCATGACAAAAAACAAAGAGAGAATCTATGTGGCGTTCTTTATATATTGGCAATGCAGCTCCGAGTGCAATGCTCTGGTATTTTAGAGAAGTATGTTAATGTCTGTTCCTAGTCTTGAAATGCCGCCCTTAGGTATTTGAGTAGAATGAAAGCTGGGAAAATTCATTTTGAGCCATTTATTATATGCACGGTGACATCTTTGCAGGCAAGTTGAAAATAAAGTATTTTCATTGGTGGTGACATGATAAACTTAACTGTATCAAAGCATGACCAGTTGTATACTGCTGCTGTGCATAAAAACTTATTGTTCCTGCTGTAGTTGCAAGACAGCCAGTAAAGTTGGTATTACACTTGAGAGCGATGTACCGAGAAACGCACCGGGGAGCGATTCTTCTCTATTAGCTGAGGCATCTCTTATCAGCAGGGTACTACATATGCATTTTCTTATCAACCTGTATTTTACGGTAGGCGCACTGGTGCCTCTTATCCCCGTTTGTCTGTTACATCAGTGTCTCTTGTAAAAGAGATCAACTGTGCTACCATTTTTTTTCGAATGTAATGAGTTCTTTTTCCAGATTATTGTTGTTTTAAGGTGGAGCCTCACATTTCAATCAAATACGGAAGATTCTATTTTTCCTTCTAGCTGCTATGAAGTCACTCCTTGTGTTACAATAGAGTGAACACTGTTACGAGAAAAGCTACATTATGGAGTTAACTCACTCCATATTGACTTAACACACAGAATCGGTGAAAACTACACTTCATTCCAGCTGCATTAGAAATAATATTCATCTGCATGCTTCTGTTTCTTTTGTTTGTTTGTTGGCTGGAGGTTTGGGGTATAGGGTGGCCAGAGGGCACTGTGTAGTCTTTCTTGATCTTCCCAATTTTGTCAACATCAATTGATAGGCGTATAGGGAAGCCAGCATGCTGAAACAGCGGTGCAAGCATGCAAGATGTTCACCATTGCATGCTGTCAGTCGCTGTGAGCAACCTACTGCATACAATTAACTGTGAGTGGTGAACTAACGGTGCACTATGTGTGCCTTCTGGAAAGCTGCAATGGTAAAGTGCCACAATCGTATAGTAACATTGATAAAATCGCAATTTTTTGTTGAATAATTTTGCAACAGAATCAATGGAGTTTTAGATAAATTTGTGATCTGCCTGGTTCATCAAAGCTACAGAGTCAAATGCGGTATATACTCGCATAATATGTGTCCTTTTTTTTGTCAATCCGGTTGACCGTAATTTTTGTGTTCGTACTTGATTCTAGCGCGCATGCGATTTATGAATTCGCTTAACCGAAAAAAAGGTGCGCGTTAGATTCGAGTAATTACGGTAAGGTGCAGACAAGGAACCGCGATGCCAACACAGTGCTGTGTGTGTCGCCCTTCATGTGTGTGTGTCCCCATTCCTTGTTCCAGTCTTCTATTGCGTTGTGTTCCCTCCGATATCTAACCAACACACCCAAGCTTCTATGCTAAGTCTTATTCAACACACTCTTCTGCTGGCTCCCATACTGAGCACATCAGCATGTCGAAGAACTCCACGCTGATGTGCTTGGCGGTGGAACGGTTTCAGTTTTCTTCGGTAAGCTTTATAACAGCAATCTGCCACCTACCGTATTTACTCGATTCTACCGCGCACTCAATTGTAACGTGCACCCGATATCCACCGCGAAAAAAAAAAAACGTAAGACATCGATTGCAACGCGCACCCATTTTTCTCGCTGGCCCGCACGATCACACCACTCGAAAAAAACGACGCCTTTCGGGAGCGTCTTCCATTTAAATATGAGGTACAGGCGAAGCTTGTGCCCATCTGACGTGTAACAGAGCATTGCCGGCACTGTAGTTTTACCGTGGACCGATGTCTGCACGGGAACTTGCTTCGCCTCCTTCTTCTCGACGGTTGTGGTGCCAGGCATGTCGAAGTAAAGAGGCGTCTGATCGGCATTCCCGATTTGCTCAAGCATGTAGCCGTTGTTGCGCCGCAAGTTTAGGACGAACCTCTGAAAACTGTGAAGCTTTTCATCGTACTCCTCCGCAAAAGTTTTCGCATATGCATGTTCCCCTTCGGAGGGAAAAGCCTTTCCTCTTCATAAAGTTAGTTAGCCAGCACC